AATAGCAGATGTTAGTAAAGTGCAGCTCACTGCCGCATCTGACAGCAATCATAATAGGAGTACCACATCAAGTGCTTGGAGAATATTTGGTTGTTCAAAAGACTTGATGTTATGCCTGAAGCTGCTCCTATTCATCAACTGGCAACAAGCGAAGAGGACACTGAACGAGAGCTGGATCCTGTAATTCAAAGTGGACGGCCCAAGCGAGTGCGCAGGCCCAATGCCAATGTAATAGGCCCAGAATGGGTTTAGTTCCTAGTACTTAAGCTAGCACAGGTGTGTGTAATCCTCAATCTTTGATCAGTTAATGGATGAAGTGGCAAACTTTCAGTGGTTTTCTACATTGGACCTGAGGGCTGGATTTCACCAACCCCCGAGAGGAACCTAAAACTGCTTTTCAGACTCACTTGGGCCACTATGAGTTCACTGTTATGCCCTTTGGTCTCACTGGAGCTCCAGGAACCTTTCAAGGATCCATGAACTCTACATTGGCTCCTGGGTTAAGGAAGTTTGTGTTGGTCTTCTTTGACAATATCTTGATGTACAGTAAATCTTGGGAAGATCATATACATCATCTAACATTGGTTTTCCAGTGGCTTTCTAATGACCAATGGCAGCTCAAGTTCTCTAAATGTAAGTTCGGCCAGCAATCCATAAGTTATTTGGGCCATGTCATCAGTGCTACTGGACTAGCTACTGACCCAACCAAGATTCAGGCAATTCAAAATTGGCCAGTCCCTACTTGTGTCAAGGATGTTAGGGGCTTCTTGGGGCTTGCTGGGTATTACATGAAATTTGTGAAGAATTTGGCCTCCTTGCTAAGCGACTCACTGATCTGCTGAAAAAGGATACACCCTTTCACTGGACCTCCTTGCATATGTCAGCCTTTCAGCAGTTACAGGCAGCTCTCAGTTCTGCTCCATGTTTGGCTCTTCCTGACTTCTCCTTGCCATTCCATATAGAGACTGACACTTGTGCTACCGGAATTGGTGTAGTGTTGCTTCAAAATGGACATCCATTGGCCTATATAAGTAAGGCATTGGGTCCTTGGAGTCGAGGCCTTTCCACATATGAAAAGGAGTACCTTGCCATCTTGGTTGATGTCGATCAATGGTGACATTATTTGCTTCACAGTGAAATTTTCATTCACACCGAACAGCAGAGCTTGGTCCACCTCAATGAGCTGAGATTACATACCCATTGGCAGCAGAAGGTCTTCACCAAGCTTCTTGGCCTGGAGTACCACATTATCTATAAACGCAGTGTTGATAATAGTGCAGCCGATGCTCTCTCTCGCTATCTAGCACCTTCTCAGCTGATGGTGGTGTCTGCAATTGCTCCTGTGTGGCTGGCTGACGTCTAGGGTTCTTATCCTTTAGACCCTGAGGCCCAGACTCTATTGGCTGTTATGAACCTTAGTTCATTTGGGGTATAGAGATAACCATTGCCAGGAAGATGGCCGGGCAAAGTCGGTGTGGAGGGAGACTAGAGTATTTGGGGGAATTGGATTGTTTGTTCTTCCTTCATTGCCTACCCTCTCCTTGGTACATCACCTCCCTTTAAATAGAGAGGACTCCTGGCCACCTAAGGAAGGCCCAATCAAATCATAACAAATCATATCCAATCCTATCTCTAATTGACCCAAATCTAATCATGTCTCTAACTGATCAAATCCCTCTAATTGATCTAATCTAATATCTTTCCTAATTCTTATTCCTTCCTTAGCAAGGATGCTATAGGCCATGCTACAGTACCACATATTTTGTTCACGCCAGCCCAGGCTGGTCCATCCTGGGCCCTACACCCATGACACTTCTCCCCCCTTTTGGAGCAGCTCGCCCACGAACTGCCGAAGACCTACTTGATGCGACCTAGGGTTAAGCCTTTTACATCTCGGCTTACCTTTGTTATTTAAAACAAAAATATGAAATAAATTTGAACTGCAATTACGTCCTCCGGGATCCCACAGAAAGAGCTCAACCACTGACTGCATGTGAATGAGCGAGTATTACCCTGATTCGAAATGGGTATACCCTACCCATGCCCAAACTTAATTGGATAATATATTTTTATCCTTACCCTACCCAAATACTATGGGTGTGAATTTGGATACGGGTGCCGAATACCCAGCGACAGGTATAAGCCCTAGGCTGGAGCGAATCCAGGTCAATCTTTCTAATCCGCCGGACTTGGATTAACTAGCAGCCCAACACAATAGTTCTTCATTGGGCGGCCCATTAACCGGCCCATGAATCTTCGTGGTTTTTCTTCCTTATCTTTTCTAGATTCATGGTTCAACACTTGGCCTGCGCATGTTGTGCGTTCAGCTGTCGCCACGTTGGCTACAGGTCTCATGCTCTCTCTCTCTCTCTTCCTCTTCCTCTGACAAGTTCATGGCCCTGTTGTGAACACTGGGAAGGGACACGATCAAGCAAGCACGGTGTCTAGGTGACATACACGCTGCTCACTTCCATGGGGGGCACAAGCACAGTGTCTGGGAGCCAGTGGCGGAGCTCGTCAATTCAAACGCCCAGGGCCACTACCAAAGCTCATATACCGCCCGCATCAGGTCAAAATACCACCAGCGCTGCGACTAATACTGATATTAAATAAAACTAGCTCATAAAAGCATAGTTTTAGATGGTATCAAAATTCCATACTTAAATCCACAGCATAATTAATGAAAACTAGCTTTATAATTCTAATTTTTTCTAGGCAGATTTGTCATGGATGTCCATCGTTGCATATCCTTGAGACTTTTCCCTGTGTGCCATTATAAAAGATCGAAATTCTCTATGTGCCCCTAGAAAAATTCAGCGGTCTTCAGTGCCACTACTCCAACTTTTTTGGGTCCTCCATGCCACTTCCGTCAGTTCATGCTCTAACGCCGTCAAACTGCAGGTGTGAAAAGACGAAAATGCCCTTAAGTTCAAATATGTTATTAATTTTTTTGAGCATCTTAACGACTTCAAATGAAAAAACTCAAAACTAGAAAGTTGTAGATCTCGTCGAGATCTATAATTTTCATATAAAATTTATTTTCATTTAATTCCGCAAAAAAATATGATGATTTTTCTAAGATATATTAATCATATCAAATCATATTTTTTTTACGAAATTAAATGAAAATAAATTTTATATGAAAATTATAGATCTCGACGAGATCTACAACTTTCTAGTTTTGAGTTTTTTAATTTGAAGTCGTTAAGATGCTAAAAAAAAATTAATAACATATTTGAACTTAAGGGTATTTTCGCTCTTTTAACACTGCGTTAAACTGACAAGTTAGAGCCTGAATTGACGGAAGTGGCAAGGACCGAAAAAGTTGGAGTAGAGTGACGTCAAGAAAATTTTTCAGAGGCACATAGAATTTCGATCTTTTTATAATTGTGAACATGAAAGTCTCCATATCCTTTGTGTATGTCACCTAGACACCGTGCTTGCTTGATCGTGTCCCTTCCCAGTGTTCACAACAGGGCCATGAACTTGTCGAGGAAGAGGAAGAGAGAGAGAGAGAGAGCATGAGACCTGTAGCCAACGTGGCGACAGCCGACGCACAACATGCGCAGGCCAAGTGTTGAACCACGAAGCTAGAAAAGATAAGGAAGAAAAACCACGAAGATTCATGGGCCGGTTAATGGGCCACCCAATGAAGAACTATTGTGTTGGGCTGCTAGTTAATCCAAGTCCGGCGGATCAGAAAGATTGACATGGATTTGCTCCAGCCTAGGGCTTATACCTGTCGCTGGGTATTCGGCACCCGTATCCAAATTCACACCCATAGTATTTGGGTAGGGTAAGGATAAAAATATATTATCCAATTAAGTTTGGGCATGGGTAGGGTATACCTATTTCGAATCAGGGTAATATTCTCTCATTCACATGCAGTCAGTGGTTGAGCTCTTTCTGTGGGATCCCGGAGGACATAATTGCAGTTCAAATTTATTTCATATTTTCGTTTTAAATAACAAAGGTAAGCCGAGATGTAAAAGGCTTAACCCTAGGTCGCATCAAGTAGGTCTTCTGCATTTCATGGGCGAGCTGCTCCAAAAGGGGGGAGAAGTGTCATGGGTGTAGGGCCCAGGATGGCCCAGCCTGGGCTGATGTGAACAAAATATGTGGTACTATAGCATGGCCTATAGCGTCCTGGCTAAGGAAGGAATAAAGATTAGGAAAGATATTAGATTAGATCAATTAGAGGGATTTGATCGGTTATAGATAGGATTAGATTTGGGTCAATTAGAGATAGGATTGGATATGATTTGTTATGATTTGATTGGGCCTTCCTTATGTGGCCAGGAGTGCTCTCTATTTAAAGGGAGGTGATGTACCAAGGAGAGGTTAAGCAATGAAGGAAGAACAAACAATCCAATTCCTCTAAATACTCTAGTCTCCCTCCACACCGACTTTGCCCGCACTACGTGAAAAATGGTTTGTAGCAATGGGAATAAATTTTTTGTAGGGGCGGCTGGTGATAGAGCCGCCCCTACAGTGACGTGCTCGGGAGCCACTGGACCAGCCACCCCTACAAATGGCATAGTAAAGATGGCTAATAATACGAGCCACCCCTACAAATAGGATCGATTTATAGAGGCGGTTCACTCACCAACCGCCCCGATATTACGATTTATAGGGGCGGCTCAATCACCACCGTCCCAACAAATCACTTCTACAACAAATATCTCTAGTCCCCAGTCCCCAGTCCGGTCCCGTGACAACAGTAGGTTCTGGTCCTTCCCCTCCCTCTCTCTCTCATCCCCTGCCGTCGCCACCTCCGCCATCTCTTCCTCCCCTACACCTACGCTGCCGCCGCACCTCCCCTCTTCCTCCTCCGCCGCCACCATCCCTCCCCATCCCCCAACCACGATGGCTCCACGGAGGCCGAGATCTAGGCACGGTGGCTCATGAGTCCAGCGGCCGCCAGATCCGGTAAGGGGGCTCCCACGAAGCCCGGTTGATTCAGAGAGGCCCTCCATGGCCTCACCTTCGCTGGCGTCGCCATGGAGGCTAGGCGACCTCGGTGGCACGCCCCCAGATCCGGCGAGGCCGCCTCTACAAACTTTCTGCTCCCGCTGGCCCTCCTCCTACTCGCTCTCCCCTGTCCGTTCCTCCCTGCTTCCGCCTCCTCCCCCGTCGCCCCCTCCGTGTCTCTCCGGTACCCGCCGTATCCGCCGAGGAACCCGCTACCCATCCCGCTGCCGCTTCTCGCCCTTGCCGCCACGCTCCTCTACCTCACCGCCTTCGCCGCCGCCGCGGCGAGCGCGCACGCAGGGTTCTTCGGTCGCCCCGTCCGGCTCCTCGCCTCGCTCCGCTCCGTGCCAGCCTCCCTCCTCCGCCTTGTCCTCACCGCCATCCCGGCCTCCCCGCTCTCACTCCTTCCGCTCCTCCCGCTCCCCACTGCGCTCGGCGCCGCGCTGCCCGTCCTTGGCTTCATCCTTTTATCCCCGTTCTGGTCCCTCGCTGGCGCCGCTGCCATGGTTGAATCGGCCACAGGCCTCACGCCGCTCCGCCGGAGCTGCCGGCTCCTCTCTGGCTCCCGCCTCGTAGGCCTGTCCTTGTTCCTGGTCTTCGCCGCCGGGATTGGGGTCACGCTCTGGGGCTTCGGCGGTGTGGCTGCCGAGACATACGACGCTGGGGCTGGGTGGGCTGGGATGGAGCCCGTGGTGGTCAAGGCGGTGGCTGGCACAGCGCTGCTGGCCGTGATGATGTTGTACGGGATGGTGGCCAACATTGTGCTCTACATGCACTGCCGCGCGATTCACGGAGAGCTCTACAAGGGAGATCTACAATGAGTTCGCCAACATGTATGTCTTCCTGCCCTAGCTCTCCTGTCTACAAGGAGCTACCCTGCCAAGGTGAGACCCCTCCCAGCTCGTGTCTCTGTTAGTGGCCACTGTTATGGACTGAATCGGATCTCTGATTTGTTCGAGAAAAAAATATGAAATATGTTTGACTGGAGGGACTATTTAACCCCATCCCTGTGATATTCTTTTTGTGTCATGAATGGTTTATTGTTACCTTATCATTTTTTTGTTATGTCCAGTCTAGTCTATAGATTCTTCTTCACTGACTATTGTTTATCTATACACAGATTGGTTCAATTTGTGGATTCTTATGATCCACCTATCAAGGGGTTGCATGAAGATCTTAATTTTGTGAGCCCAAGAATTGGAGAGGTGGTACTCATGTCATTCTCCATTGCAGTAGTAATAACTAGGAATTAAGCTTCATATGCTATTTGAGTGTTCAACTCCTAAATGTGTTACATGCTAGGCTACTTCCTCCCATCATTCAGTACTATGATCATGAAATAGGCTGCAGAAAAAGCTTCTTAGGGTCAGTTTTGCATACTTGCATTAGCATTGAGTATATTTGGAGGGCCAATTATTTTTCTTACAATCTGTTGCTTGACTAGTTTTGTGATTTTTTCCCATTTGTTTTACTTGTCGTTCTTATTGCCAAGCTTTTTTTCCTTCTGTATCCGATACCTTATCTCTGCTGTTATATTTAATATAAAGGATGGGATTCGAGTATGTTTATGGATTTTGTGAGCATTTGATGTGGCATTGAGCATCTTCTGTAGCAGAGATTGTCTACACATCTTTATTCACAGGGTGTATGATATTAAGATCAATGCTTTGTGCTATGAATTTATAAATTGAAATACAATATAGATCAGTGGTTAAACACTTTTGAAAAGCACATGCATTTTGTTAGTACCTTTACAGCATCTGACTTAGATTTTCTATCTAAATTGTTTTTTGGTGCTTTGACTGTAATGTTTTGTTCCTCAGGTCCTGGAAGCTGTTGGCCCAATTATCTTTCTTTCAACTGATACAAATAAGTTAAGGAACGAAGGTTTCCTCAGTCCATTTCATCCACGTTATCCAGACATCCTAACAAATTTACTTTGATACAGCATGAAAAAGGTATTGTATCATGATTGGGCATTTTTCTATAATTGCAACTTAATTCTTTTAAGAATTTTAGAAATGGATATCCATATTCTAGTCAGGATGGCAATGCTAAGAAAATCATTGAATATTTTTAGAAAACATCTTTTATCGAGTCATCATCGTTAATCATTTGCTTTATCTTCTGTTTTTGGTGGCAATATTCTTTGCTCTGACCTCTGAGTACTCTTTCCCCAACAAGCCAGACCTAAATGCATGAATACATGTGAATGATGTGAGCTTTACTTTTGTTTGCTGGATGGCATAGAATGAACAGCCTCCTCCATTATGTGTTGCTGCTGTAGCTTAAATGATTTCTGCAGTCATCTTTACTCCTTATGTTATTTATAGGAAGAAACATGAGAATATCCTATTAGAAAGTTGGGGTATCATATCAGTCCGTGTCAGAATCTTAGGACCCTTAATTATCAGAATCTTCCCTGTCTCATTTTCTTGTGAAGGGCCATATGCACCTTGTCACTGTCAGTCCCATGGTACCGTCTTGTGCTTTGCCGTTCACTGGACTACAGTTCCAGTTTTGTACAAATCTATTCTTTTGGCTACTTGTGGGATATTTATTGATGTTCTGTCGGTCCACCTTTCTCTCATCTTTGGACCACAGCTCTACTTTGTTTTATTTGTCTCTGACCATACATTCGAATTGTTTAGGAAACTAGTCAGCATGGGGCAACCTGAATTTGTCATTTAGCTGACAACAGAATGTTGGTTGCACCATTCTTATCGCTGCTAGAATTGTTTTCCGTGATGAAGTTAGAATTCTATCTTCTGTTACTCTGACCTTGACATATTTTTTAATCCTTCATTTCACATCCAGGGATTGCTGAGGGTTCCATCGACGACACAGTAGTTGTGGCAAGTGAGCAAGATTCTGAGATCGTGGTTGGAAAGGAGCAAGCTCGAGCTAAAGTAACACAAAGCATTGTCTTTGTAACTGGCGAAGCTTCTCCTTATGCAAAGTCTGGGGGTCTAGGAGATGTTTGTGGTTCATTGGCAGTTGTTCTTGCTGCTCGTGGTCACCGTGTGATGGTTGTAATGCCCAGATATTTAAATGGTACCTCTGATAAGAATTACGCAAATGCATTTTACACAGAAAAGCACATTCGGATTCCATGCTTTGGTGGTGAACATGAAGTTACCTTTTTCCATGAGTACATAGATTCAGTTGACTGGGTAGGTATCCAATCACCTTATTGTTTCTGATCAAATTAATAACTGCCTACCATTTAGTCCTATGTGCTTCTTGACATGTACACGTTCTGATGTTACTTCTGTATTTCCATGTTGTTTGCCCGGTAGTCTTTAGCATCCAAACAGCATATAGTATTTTCCAGATTAAAATAAAGAGATATATTTGATATGATGTATTGATGAAAGTAGCACACTTGTGTCTATGGTGCTAAAGTCTTATGCATCTATGGTTGCACATTTGTATTTGCAACAATGGTTGTGAGTGAAGATGACACTAGATGACATTACTGTTGGCAGTTCCAAGGAGCTTATCAGTTCTTTAACACTTAGTCAACTTATTCTAGTGATTCTAGTTCTTAGTAGTTAGTCCATCAGCTGCATACTCTGAACCATCATTTTATTCCAAAACAGAAACTCATGTGAATCAGCCATGCTTCATGTGTGCCTTTTAAGGAAGTAGATAGGCATCGGCAAACACTTTCAGATGGCTTTCGATTATCTTCCAAGTGAATTCCATTCCATGCTTGTGTATTGTCATTGAGTTTTCGTACAATCGTAGAAGAAGATAAGTCATGATGGAGTTGTGCATGAAAAATATATGTTCTGGTCGAATTTGAATTGTAAATTTAAATTTTTTTTTGGCGGAAAAAATGATTTGTAGGGGCGGTTGGTACTGTAGCCGTCCCTACAAATCGATTTGTAAGGGCGGCTGGTGTTCCCAGACCGCCCCTACAAATCAATTTGTAGGGGCGGCTACAGTACCACTTGCCGCTACAAATCGATTTGTAGGGGCGGTCTGGGAACCGTCCCTACAAATCATCAATTTGTAGCCACCCTTTCATAGGGGCGGCTGGCAAAACCGCCCCTGGAAATGGTTTCCTACGTAGTGCCGGCCATCTTCCGGGCAATGGTTATCTCTATACCCCAAATGAACTAAGGTTCATAACAGCCAATAGAGTCTGGGCCTCAGGGTCTGAAGGATAAGAACCCTGGACGTCAGCCAGCCACACAGGAGCAATTGCAGACACCACCATCAGCTGAGAAGGTGCTAGATAGCGAGAGAGAGCATCGGCTGCACTATTATCAACACTGTGTTTATAGATAATGTGGTACTCCAGGCCGAGAAGCTTGGTGAAGACCTTCTGCTGCCAATGGGTATGTAATCTCAGCTCATTGAGGTGGACCAAGCTCTGCTGTTCGGTGTGAATGAAAATTTCACTGTGAAGCAAATAATGTCGCCATTGATAGACATCAACCAAGATGGCAAGGTACTCCTTTTCATATGTGGAAAGGCCTCGACTCCAAGGACCCAATGCCTTACTTATATAGGCCAATGGATGTCCATTTTGAAGCAACACTACACCAATTCCGGTAGCACAAGCGTCAGTCTCTATATGGAATGGCAAGGAGAAGTCGGGAAGAGCCAAACATGGAGCAGTAATCGAGAGTCGGCTCAGAATCGCCGAAAGGTGACATATGCAAGGAGGTCCGGTGAAAGGGTGTATCCTTTTTCAGCAGCACCGGTGAGTCGCTTAGCAAGGAGGCCAAATTCTTCACAAATTTCTGTAATACCCAAGAAGCCCCAAGAAGCCCCTAACATCCTTGACACAAGTAGGGTGGCCAATTTTGAATTGCTCGAATCTTGGTTGGGTCAAGAGCTAGTCCAAAGAGCTGCGATGACATGGCCCAAATAACTTATGGATTGCTGGCCGAACTTACATTTAGAGAACTTGAGCTGCCATTGGTCATTAGAAAGCCACTGGAAAACCAATGTTAGGTGATGTATATGATCTTCCCAAGATTTACTGTACATCAGGATATTGTCAAAGAAGACCAACACAAACTTCCTTAACCCAGGAGCCAATGTAGATTTCATGGATCCTTGAAAGGTTCCTGGAGCTCCAGTGAGACCAAAGGGCATAATAGTGAACTCATAGTGGCCCAAGTGAGTCTAAAAAGCAGTTTTAGGTTCCTCTCGGGGGTTGGTGAAATCCAGCCCTCAGGTCCAATGTAGAAAACCACTGAAAGTTTGCCACTTCATCCATTAACTGATCAAAGATTGAGGATTACACACACCTGTGCTAGCTTAAGTACTAGGAACTAAACCCATTCTGGGCCTATTACATTGGCATTGTTAGCTAATCTACTGCTACCTTGTGTGAATATAGCAAGAGGAAGGTGGCGCCGAAAAGGCCCCCTGCTGTGATACTGTAGGCGCTGCAGGTGCATGCGCCGATTTGCTCATCTGCAACACTGTAGGCACATGCAATGGCCGACGCAGAGTCAGCCCTATATGTTATCTAGTTACTGTTATAGAATGGGTAGCTGTACTGGGACTAGATGGATAGAGTTGTATAAATAGACTACCACGACAACTCAGTAAAGAGAGCTCAGATTTGCCATCTCATAGACAGGGCTTCGGCCAACGCTGGTGTCTTGTATTGTGCATGCATGCTTTGTTCTCCCTTCTTCTTCTAGCTCTAGCCATAGTGTGTGGGGACGGACAACGCTCGTTCATGGTCGGCACGGCTAGTGGGTGCTCGGCAACACTAGCGGGTGTTCGGCAAGACTGGAGAGTGGTTCACTCGCCTGAGCCGGTGATCCTGTGGGCCAACAAGTGGTATCAGAGCCGTACAAACGTCATCGCCAGACTAACCGCTGGCGATGATGGGCGGTTCGGAGATGGGCGACAGCAGTGGCACTGCTGTGGCTGCCTAGCCACGACAGGAGGTCGTTGTTCGCACGGTGCGGGAGGTCAGCGGCACCAGTTGGCCGACGCTAACTCGCACCAACTATGGAGAGTCATCGGTGACCATGAAGGTCAAGCTCAGAGCCCGACGGCTCTAGAATGCTATTGACAAGGGCACCGACATTGAAGAAGATGACATGTCTGCGTTGGAGGCTATCCTTGCTGCTGTATCGGTGGAGTACAGAGAGCTGTTGGGGGCGATGAGCTCGGCTAAGGAGGGGTGGGAGGCTATTACGGCGATGCTGCGTTGGTTCTGACCGCGCAAAGAAGGCGACGACCCAGCTTCTGAAGTAGGAGTACACCAACCTCAAGTCAAGGATGGTGAAATGGTGGAGGACTTCTCCCTCCGCCTGTCAGACGCTCATCAGCAAGCTGAAGAGCCATGGCGTCACCATCGACGAAGAGGAGGCGGTCTCCAACTACCTTCACTCTATGCCAGCAAAGTACATCCAAATCGCTCTCTCCATAGAGACGATGCTGGACTTGTCCACGCTCATCATTGAGGATGTGATGGGCCATCTGCGGGCGGTGGACGAGCGCCTAGAGCAGGTAACAGCAACGAAGGACAGCGGGAAACTCCTGCTGATGGAAGAGGAGTGGGCTGCTCGAAGGAACTCCGGGAAGGCAGCCTCCTCTAGCCGCGGTGGCGATGGCAAGCACTGCGATAAGGCTTCTTCGGAGAAGAAGCAGGTCGACCCCAACGCCTACCAGCGTTGCGGGAAGATGGGCCATTGGGCACGGGAGTGCCCAAACCGCAAGCAGGAAAAGAAGGCTCAGGCTCATTTGGCGCAAGCTGATGATGAGGATGAGGCCACTATCCTGATGGCGACATTCTGTGCACTACATGACGTCGAGGCCGAGGAGAGGGAGGAGACGACGATGGTGGAAGGACTTGGGAAGGCCCTAAAGACCGTCAACCTCAACGAACCACGTGCCCAAGTTCACCTCGGGCGTGTGGGCGCCGACCAGGAGCAGCGGTGGTATCTGGACTCCGGTGCCAGTAACCACATGACGGGCTCCAAGGCATCCTTCTCCGAGCTCGACAGCGATGTTACCAGTACGGTGAAGTTTGGTGACAGCTCAAGGGTGGCTATCCAAGGGCGCGACACCATTATCTTTAGATGCCAGAACGGGGAGCACCGCGCGCTAACGGATGTATATTACATCCCGCAGCTGCGTTCCAGCATCATCAGCCTTGGTAAGCTAGATGAGCACGGTAGCGAGGTACTGATCAAGGATGGAGTCCTTAGAATCAGGGACCGGGAGCAGCGACTTCTTGCCAAGGTGAAGAGGTCCCTGAACCGGTTGTACCTGCTCGACCTAAAGGTAGAGCAGCCGGTGTGTCTGGCGGCAAGGCACTCTGAGGAGCCGTGGATGTAGCATGCCCGGTTCGGACATCTCAGTTTCGACACGCTTGGTCGGCTGGAAAAGATGGTCTGAGGGCTACCCCACATCAAGCACGGAGGCGAGCTGTGTGACAGCTGCCTGGCCAGGAAGCAGAGGAGGCTACCTTTCCCAAAGGCGGCCAAGTATCACGCGAAAGAAGCTCTCGAGCTCGCTCACGGTGACCTTTGTGGGCTGATCACGCCTGCTACAAACGGTGGACGGTGGTACTTCCTCCTGCTTGTGGATGATTGCAGTCGCTACATGTGGCTGCAACTCCTAACAAGCAAGGAAGAACCGGCGGCAGAGATCAAGAAGTTCAAGACGCGCGTGGAGGCTGAGAGCGGCAAGAACCTCCATGTGCTGAGGACTGATCCCGGCGGCGAATTCACTTCGGTGAAGTTCGCTGCGTACTGCGTGGATCAGGGTGTGGGGCAACACCACACCGCGCCATACTTGCCACAACAGAATGGCGTGGTGGAGAGACGAAACCAGACGGTGGTCGGCATGGCCCGATCCATGATGAAGGCCAAAGGCATGCCGGCAAGGTTCTGGGTTGAGGCGGTGACCACGGCGGTGTTCATCCTCAACCGATCTCGACCAAGGCCCTAACGGGCAAGACGCCGTTCGAAGCTTGGTATGGGCGCAAGCCGAGCGTGTCCTTCCTCCGGACATTTGGCTGCATCGGCCACGTCAGGAAGACAAAGCCGCACCTCACCAAGCTGGAGGACAGGAGCACACCCATGGTGTTCCTAGGCTACGCGGAGGGTACCAAGGCGTATCGGCTCTACTACCCACGTGGAGACAAGGTGCTTGTCTCACGCGATGTCGTGTTCAACGAGGAGGCGGCTTGGGACTGGAGCAGTCTGAGCACGGGGGA